CATTGCTGCGTGGGTGCGTGCACCACTGCTGCTGGTGTTGTTGCTGGGGGCATTGACCCTCTGCTCTGTGGGGTGAGTGGTGTGTGCGCTGGATGGTGTTTCTCAGTTAATTGTTTGCTGCCATGGAGGCTAAATGTATAACTGCTGGGGTTGTGCTGCTTTTAATTTCCTTGCTGCGCCGTAGCGGACTTTGGGCGGTGGTCCACTTATCCTTGAGGGTATTATCTGTGCTCGATGCCGTCGTGTGAGGCGTGTTTTTATTTCTCTTGCTTGGGCTTTGCTTTGCACTCATGACTGTGTGCTCCTTTTCCGTGGGATTTCTTCGCTTGTTTGGTGGCTTTTTGCGCTGTGCGTCTCTGCCGTACTGCTTGCTGCCGCGCTGTGTGTGTGTGTGTGTGATCTGCTGGTTTTTTTTGTTTCTGTTCTCTTTTCCCGCAAAGACCTGAGCGATTTGCTTGACGGTTACCGATGGTGCTTCTGCGCCGCGTTGTGTGGGTGCTGGCCGCTGCTCTGTGCTGCACGGACCTGTGCGTGACGGCTGCTTCTGAGAACGCTGTGCTTCCCGCTGCTGGTACTCAGGAGGCAGCGAGGGCAAATGTGGCTACCTGCAGAGACGCTGTGTCAAATGCCCAGGCTGTGCTGCGAGGTGCTCAAGAGACTTCTGCCAAAGCTGACGAAGCAAAGAGGGAGCTCAATGACTTTACGGCGAAGGCAGAGAAAGCAAAGGTGCCTGCCGCAGAGGCTAAGAGCATGGCAAACGAGGCAGTGGTGAGTATTACCAACGGATTGAAGGTGCTGAAGAAGATTGTTGGAGAAAAGGGGACTGCGGTAACGGGTCCAGTGAAATTGGAAGCGAGTGATCTCCCGGTTGCTAGGGATGCGCAAACTGCGCTGGGAAAGGCGAACGATGCTGCAGTAAAGGCCTCAGAAGCGATGAAGTTACTCGAGAAGGCCACGGAGCATGCAAAGAATGTACAGGATTGGGCAGAGAAGCTGGGAGAAGGGATGAAAGACGAAGTGTGGAAGAACGCAGTGAAGAGCGTCGAAGATGTCTTTCAGAGTGAGAAGGAGGTAAAGACACAAACTGATAAAGAGGCGCTGAAACTCGCTGTGAAAACAGTGAACAAGAATAAGAAAGGAAACGCTGCTGCAAATCTTTTTTTCAGTGCGCGAATGGTGGCAGAGCGGATTGGGCTGGCACTGACGAATATCACGAAGACAGCAGCTGATGCGAAGCTCGCAGCAGCAAGTGCCAAGGACGCCGCAGATAATGCCAAGCAGGCAGAAGTGGAGTTAAACAAAAATAAGTCCGAAGATGGAAAAGTAACTGTAACCGAGGCGGCAAAGGGCCCTGCTACGAAGGCAAATACAGCTGCCATAGATGCAAAGACGAACGCTGAGTCGGCAGCAAAGAATGCCACCAATACCGCGCAGAGCATAATTTCTGCACTGGAGGTAGCGGAGGTGGTGAAAGAACTTACGGACGCGGCATGGAGCTCCGCTAACAGTGCCAAGGATGCGGCTAAGACGGAGCAGGACAAGGCGGACGCTGCGCTGGTCGAGGCCGAAGAAGAGTTGCAGAAATTCACCACAGTGGAGAAGCCAGAGTCACAGCTACCCGAAGAGGAGGAACCGCCCACTGACCACAAATCCAGCGAGGCAGAAGCCACTGGACCCCTGCCAACGGACCAACCACCGAAGTCGGAGGACAAAGTCAGTGGGACTGCAGGCGGATCTAACATTGGGGTGAAAGACGGCAGCGACATCCCCGCGTGGGTGCGTGCCCCACTGCTGCTGCTGCTGGCCTGTGTGGCCGTGTGGTGAGACCTGCGTGTGTGTCTGTGTGTGCGTGGGGCGGTGGTGCTCCGACCGTAATTCTG